CTGTAGAAGATAATTTTGTTTATTTAAGTCTTAGCCAACATTTTTAGCATTGTGGTGGGATTTCAAAGAAGTCATATACCATGAAAAATGTTTACTTCCCAGTTAAGTCAAATATTTAAACATTTGCTCTCTTTAATCCTTTCCACATAAATATAAGGTTAGAGGACATTTGAATGGAAATTTTGATATGGCCCTGAATAGCAACGATTTCAGGAACAAAGTATTAGGAATAATCAGTGCATGTTTAAAATACCATAAACTCATATATACATTTTCACCTCTGTATTTCACTGTGTGCCCTGACCTGGATAGCCCAAGCGAGCTCCATGTCTTCTGATCTCTGAAGCTAAGCAGGGCTGGCCTTGGCTACTATTTGGATGGGAGACCACCAAGGAATACCTGGGTCATGACATGGAGTCAGGCAATGGGAAACCACCTCTGAATGTCTCTTGTCTTGAAAACCCTACAGGGTCACCATAAGTCAGCTGTGACTTGACAGCAAAAACAGCAACAAAAATTTCACTGCATGTACAGGCTAGCTGAAACCTCATCAGATCTCAGCAGCTAAGTAGGGTCAGCCCTGGTTAGTTCTTGGATGGGAGGCCACCAAGGAAGTCCAGGGTCACTACACACAGGCAGGCAATGGCAAACCACCTCTGTTCATCTCTTGCCTTGAAACCCCTATGAGGTTGTCATAGGTTGGCTGCAACTTGATGGCACCTCCCACCACCACACAGCATATTCATCTCTCCTGTGTTCAGTGCCAGAAACATGTCATGTGTGAAATGACTTCAGAGGAAAGCTGAAGATGGTGTAATAGAGCTATCGTTGTCCATAATGTGCAGTTCTTTTTCTTTTGTTCCAATATTGTCATTGATTAAACAGGTCTTTTTACATTTTGAAGCATTACGGAAAGCCTACAAACCACTTTTGAAATGGACATGATAATTAGAGATGCTGGGAATTTCACGGAGAATGTTTTTGACAGTCAAACATCATGTTTGTGTCTGTATCAGATGTGAGCTGATCACCAGGTCTGTTTGGTGTGGCACCAAATGACTCAAATGCAGGCCAGACAAGTTTGTGTCAGGGTTTTACAAAACTATGTGAATGTTGTTGCTCCAGACAGAGTGGCATCCATTAACATCGCTAAGGACTACCAAGGCAAACAGCAAACAGCTGGGAATTTTTTTTAACACAGCATTTATTTATGTATGACGCATGTGATTTGTGCCTGATCTGATTGTATATTTAAACAACTGCCTGCCAAGTAGAGCAGCAGCACAGCAAGGGGTGGGGAGGCAGCTGTCAAGCGGCAGGTTATGAAGATGAGCCCCAAACAGGTTGACAAGCAGGAAAACAGTCTGTCAAAAATCTGCACCCTGTTCACGGTTGGTGAACAGGGTTTGAGTTGAACCAGTGGGTGTTGTGCATCCTTAAGGATAGTGGAGCCCCCCCCCCCCCGATTAAATATATGCAACATGAGTTGCCCCAACCTGGATGGCCCAGGCTCACCTGATCTCATCAGATCTTGGAAGCTAAGCAGGGTCGGCCCTGGTTAGGTCTTGAATGGGAGACAGCAAAGGAAGTCCAGGGTTGCTATGCAGAGGCAGGCAACGGCAAACCACTTCGATCCATTTCTTGCCTTGAAAACTATACTGAGTTGCCATAAATTGGCTGCAACTTGACAGCCAATACAACATGAGCGGTGGCGGTTCCATCACGTTGTCTCCAGTTCTCTAAAAAAATTGTCCTTTGCAAAACATTGTTCTTCTGTGTTTCTTGCAAATGCCCATTGTGAGTTGCAAACATAACTCTGGGAGTTCCCTCACTTTATATATAATACCCTTTTGCCCGTCCTCTTGTTCCACAAGTAGAGAATCATATTTCTAGCAATGTGCCCTTTCTACCAGCCATGTAATTTTCCATTGTCCTGCTTGGCTTGTTTTTGTTGTGTGGCTTTTGCCTGCGAGATCCTAAATGTGGGGTCAGAGAGGATTGCTTGCTTGGGAGGATTGGTAGATGTGAAGGGGGCTTTAGCCCTGCTATGTCATCTCCCCTGAATGAGCTTACTTCCTCAGCAGCTTTCCCCAAGCCAGGCATGCTCCCATGAGGGGGGGGGGGGCATGAGCACCACCCCCTAGAGTCAGATTCAAATAGCTTTCAAGCAAGGGAAACCTCTACCCTTTGGATGGGGAAAATGTATTAAAACAATCTTGGAAGGCATTTGCAGGGGGAAATCAGCAAACCAAGTGAATGGTTAAGCACCCCTTCCCACCAGTTCTCCTGTGGAATTGCTACCCTTTCCTTCAGTTCCATGAGACAGGAAAGGACTGACTCTGCCCACATATGCCTGCTCATAGTTTGCCAGTGCCCCGGTCTTTGCCCAGTTTGCTAGTGCCCCGCTCTGTGTTCCTGTACTGAGAGAGCTCAGCTCGGCAGGTATTTGGGGTAGGACTTTTTCTAATGTGGCGCACACACAAAAACACACTCACTAGCAGGGGTCGTTTCGTAGAAAAAGAGCTAGGGGAACTCATTAGCATAACTCATTAGCATATGCCACACCCCCTGACATCACCGGAAGCATGTAATAAGGCCACACCCCCTGACATCACCGGAAGTGTGTCATAAGGCCACACACACCACCCCCAACGGTCCCGGCCACCGCCGCCGGCCTTGCAGCTCCACTGCCAAGCCCCATGAGGGGCCCGGCGGTGGTCCTGCAATGCCGGCAGGAGTGCAAGGAAGCCCCGCGAAGGCCCTCCCTGGCCCCAGACAGGCAGGGTTGGGGAGAGGAAGGGAGGAAGCAACTTACCCTCCCTCTTCTCCTGCCTCCTCTTGGCTGAATGAGGGCCGGAAGCAGGGTGGCCGGAAGCAGGGGGCGGGGCTTTGTCATGTGCCCTGCCCCCCGTACCTCACCCGGGGGAACTGCGATCCCCCGCGTTCCCCCCCGAAATGACCTCTGCTCACTAGCATTCCCATGTCTCGAACATGCTTGAAAAACTCTAGACTGTCCAACTGAAGCATCCCTTTCCACCGTCTCTCTCACTTTGGGGCGCAGTGTTTTTCGGGGGGGAAAGAGGTGCTACCCCCATTCAGATGCTGATTGAATATGTGTACATATTTAAATCTGGTTGGGGGTTTTGCTTAAAAACTGACAGGTTGCCAAAAAATATACCAAAGAAATAAAAAGTTCAGGCTTGCTTTGAAAGTGGCTGGATGTTCCGCCTAATCTTACTAGGCAAGTGTGGATAGAGCTGGCAATGGTGGATGAATGAAGCAGATCATTTACAATGTAATCTTAAACAGAGTTACACCCTTATTAGTACATTGAAGTCAGTGGGCTGAGGAATGCACACTTAGTGACTTATTTTGTATCATCGTTTGATGTAAGCAGCTTTTATAGACAGGGTCCTGCACCCTGAGGCCCAGGTTCCCATGAAAATGCTTTGCTGAATACTATAGTCCAGAAATTCTTACAGGACCAGAGTTGCCATCTCCAGGTTGAGAAATTCCTGGAGATTTGGGAGTGGGCCAGGGCCAGGGTTTGGCATAGAATCCACCCTCCAAGACAGCCATTTCCTCCAGGGGAACTGTCTCTTCAGCCTGGAGATCAGTTGTAATTCTGGGAGATCTCCAAGTCCCATCTGGAGGCCCACAACCCTACTTAGGCAGGCGCTGATTCAGAATCCAGTTTTGCTTTTATCAACAAGGCAACGCCGCTGACTTTTCATCTTACACACTGTGATAAGAAGCTGCTCTGGCTCAGACAAAAGCTCTTCAGAAACCAGCACAAGTGGCCGAAATCCCATAAAAGGAGGTTGTTTCCATTAAAGTAATAAGATGGGTCACGAGGTCACTGTACCAGAGCATACATGCTTAGACAGCTTAATTGCAAGCAAAATATGTTACAAAGAACTCTCAAGTATTTGGAATATTAGTTCATTGTGACCTTCTTTGAACTTCTCTGTTTTAATTCGCCCCTCAGACATGCTGGTATCTCATCACTTGGGGAGCCCTTTAAAACTGACATCGCTGCAGATCTGTGGATGTTATCCAAATTTATACAACAAAAGCTACAATTTGGAGATTTTTCTGTTACCACCATGGGCCTAAGTGACACATTAATTTTTTCAGCACAATGCCATCTTAAGAGGGTGCAACTAGGTGATCTGATAACAAATCTCCTGTCTCTTTAAATTTGTATAAATGCCTGTGGTGGAGGCAGTGAATTCAGATTCTGGCACTGGGGAGAAACAATTGAACCTGATGCCTCATTGCCTGGATCAGTAGGGAAACAAGTATCCCTTCTCCTACAATAGGGTTGCCAGGTCCCCCCCTGACCACTGGCAGGGAAGGGGGGGCTATGGTTGCCAGATCCAGGTTGGGAAACTCCTGGAAATTTGGGGGTGGAGCCTGGGGAGGTCAGGGACCGCAGCGGGGTACAACGCTATACAGTCCACCCTCCAAAGCGTCCATTTTTCTCCAGGGGAACTGATCTCTGTAGTCTGGAGATGAACTGTAAATTGAGCGATTTGTCTAAATGTACCTACTTGCATGTCAATTTGTGATGTATTTTCCATCTGGACCATTGGGTAGCAACAGCTGGACAGAGACATAAGAGAACAATCTTACACTGACCAGAAATTCTAAGGTTATGTTGATATATTTCTCCCCAAGTTTCCATGGAATAAAGGGGATTTGAATCTGAGTCTTAACTGGGCGCTCTAGCCACTGCACCACACTGACTTAGTAGGGTAGATACCGGGTTTGACTACGCTACATAGGCAATAAGGCAATAAGATACAACCTTTGCCTAAAAGAGATTATTCTGGATTAGTAATACTGTCTTTGCTATTACAGTTTTTTATTCTGTGAAGTGTGGCCAAGTGGCTTATAAAGAAGCAGATTTCTGCATGGCTGATTTCTGATGGGGTGGTAAAATCTACAGCAGAAACCGGAAAAACTAATGAAAATGTTACATTTTTAAACCTCCCCAGTTGTGAATCAAGATGGCCAACCCCTGATCGAAGGCAAGCTGAAAGAAAAGCAGGTCCGATGGAAATTCATCAAAAGGTGGAAAACCCGCTATTTTACTCTGGCTGGCAACCAGCTTCTCTTTCGCAAAGGAAAATCGGTACGTTAGCAGAAAGGTCCCTCGTATTTATTAATTCTTCGATAACCAGTACGAAATTTATTGATGACCTAGGAGACACCAGTGGACTAGCTGCCCCTGGAGATCCCTTCCATGATTGTGTGATTCCTAAAAGCACTGGAACTATGCATTCAAAATGGAAGGTTTTCCCCCCCAGCAGGTTGTTGAAGTTATATCTACACTTCATACTTATAATGGTTTTATACCGATTTAATTATCATCACTGTCCTCAAAGTCTCTTGCAGTGCAATGCTGAACAGAATCGCACCTTTCTAAGTCCATTTAGAATGGCACTGGTAAAAACTGTAATTTGGAAGAGGGGCTGAGAATTTTCTTTGAGGGGAAAACCAGTGGGTGCCTGAGTAAAAACCAAATGCATTGTCAAAACCGATGCTTGAAGCCTCCCCCCCCCTTCTTCTTTCCTTTCTCTGTTCTAGAAAGATGACCCAGATGACTGCCCCATAGAGCTTAGTAAGGTCCAGAGCGTCAAAGTTGTGGCCAAGAAGCGCAGAGATCGCAGCCTTCCCCGGGCCTTTGAAATTTTCACAGACAGTAAGACGTACGTTTTCAAGGCCAAAGATGAAAAGAACGCAGAGGAGTGGCTCCAGTGCATTAATGTCGCAGTTGCACAAGCCAAAGAAAGGGAAAGCAGAGAAGCAACTACATACTTGTAAAAAACTGTAGGCCTGTTCGTGCCGTTCTGTCAAACATGGAATTGCAAAGTGTCTCGTTATTCAAAAGACAGAGAGAGCTACTTTCACATCTCAGTGCTAGTGGCTAGCAATTGGGCTACATTCCCCATTTGCAAGAAGGGCTGAAGCATGCATCATGTTCGCACTGGCACAGTGTTCACTTCAGCTTAAGAAACAACCTCATTAACTCCTGTCCTCTAATGCTACAGTGCTTGTTCATGGAACCTGTACCAGTATACTGTCCACTGTACTTGTTCTTGAGATTATCTCTGTCCACACAGACTACAGACCTATGGTCCTGCCTGGAAGGCAAATGCAACTAGAGTTATCCCTGCATGATTTCAATGAACATGCCCCTCGTTAAGGAGATAAAAAGCGGAGAATGCACAGATTTTGTAAAGTTATGTGTGAACCACAGAAGCAAGAAATCTCACTCCAGAATAATACTTGCAGGTGTACTAACATTGTTTGCTATTGTCCTTGTGAATACAGCTTAAGTAGCATGTGACCAAGACTTGTGTATCCTTGCTGAGTGACACAGTGGCTGGGCCCGGCTTTTACAGACTCTGCAGTAGTTGCTTAGCAAGGGAAAAGTCCAGCCAGTTGGCAACCCTAAGACTCCCTTCTAAACATTGTATTTGTTCAATGTCACTGCCAATTGCCTACCATATGTTTCTTTGGAAAGCATCAGATCATACCCATGGCCCTTCTCGTCCTTCCAGTATAGGTACATACAGACGTGCATAGTTTTTCCGACATCATTTGACTGCATTTTAGGTAGGTTTAGGGCTCATTCAGGCTTCCTTTGTACATAGACCCTGAATAGCAAAACTGCTATGTTTGCTTCACCATGATTCTGTGCTTCCCACCTGCCATCTTGTTCACACCCAGCCCAGTCCCAGGACCACCTTGCTGCTGTGGCCCTAATGAAAATCGACTGGTGGAGCGGCAAAATCATGATTTCAAAACATTGTCGGTTTACATCTTAACCTGTTCCTGAAGCTTGGAGACATCACAGAACACAAGAGAGAGCCAGTTTGGTGTAGTGGTTAAGTTCTCCTTCTCCTTCTTAGCTAGTCTCACTTATCTACTGGGAAATCAGGCTGAAAGTGAGTGGTGAATCCATGGTTGAGATAGGACCCAAACATGGGTCTTGCAGGTCTAGCTGTAATCCACCTTGAGTCTCAGCAATGAAGGTGGGCTCTAAATGAAGTAAATAAATAAACAAACTGAGTAAGACATGCATATCATATAGCCCATGCACTGATTTTTTTAAAGGTCTTGTTCATTTGATCCTGGATGCTGCTAAGCTAATAAGTATACAGGGCAGGGCCTTATTTATGGTAATGCAGCAGAACCAGTGGAGGTTAAAAAAATTAAACTGGACAGCAACAAAGAGAAGAGGTTACCTTGATGCCTTTACCAGATAGCCCTGTCAGACAGCAGCAAAAGAGTGGGGGCTGCTGGCCAGGCCCGTAGCTATGGTGGGGCTTCTGGGGACTTCGCCCCCTTTCTTAAAGGCACAGCCCCACAAGAATTTCTCCTGTAAATGATTTCCCCCCCAATCATTTTAAAACATTTCTAAAAGGCATGTGCTCCTTTAAGCAGAGTGGGGGTGCTGTAGTTGACTAATTCCCACACTGAGCAAGGGGCTTGGAGTAGGTGACCTCTAGGATCCCTTCTAACTCTGTGTCAAAAACTGGTCTCCTTTAAGAGAGTTTTTCTGCCTAAGTGTTAGCTTTCTTGGCTATAGAAGTCATCACCCGCACCTGCCAGCTTGTTATCAGAATTGCTGCTTAGGCTGGCAGAAGTGATTCGCTTGCAGCAGCTGAGATCTGTCATCTGAAGTGATTGGCAGCTTGCAGTTTAGAGATCTATCCTGGTAACAGCTTTCTATTGACTAAATGGCTTTTCTTTCTGCACTGAGAACTTCAGCCCCAGCAGAAAAGAATTTGCCCCACAAGTCACAAAATCCTGGCTACGGGCCTGCTGCTGGCTTAGCCCAGTTGAGGTGTCGGTTCACTAAATACCTTGCAGTGCCCACAGTAGACTACTAACATTAGGACCCACACTGGTACTGGGCACTACTAGCCACTTGGCAGCTGCTGTGCCCCACACGGTAGGGTTGCCAGCCTCCAGGTGGGGCCTGGGAATCTCCAACTATTACAATTTATCCCGAGACAATAGAGATCAGTTCCTGTGAAGAAAACGGCCACTTTGGAGGGTGGACTCAGTGGCACTGTACCCTGCTGAGGTCCCTCCCTACTCCAAACCCCACCTTCCTCAGACTCCGCCTCCTAAATCTCCAGGTATTTCCCAGCCCACAGCTGGCAGCCCAACTACTTCCCTCTCTGTCTCACAGCACACTTTGGTCAGGTCCCATTCCCCTTAGTCTTCCACTCAGCAGCAGTGGTCTTTTTAGCCCCATTGAACTGCCCCCTAAGTAACTGCTGTGTGTCTGTAAAACTCCTTGCCAGTATCTTGGTTCCCTAGCAAGGCCAGGTTTCACTTGGAGTTTAGAAAGTTTATCTTTCTGTTCTGCCAGGCTAGTAGCTGAAGTTGGAACTGATGTGCTGCTGCTGCTTATATTGTTTTTGTTGCTTTTTTTTAAAAAATAGCGGCTTGAAGATGTTTTACCTTCCGACTGTTATTTGAAAAACTTTGTGTGCTGTCTTGAAGGCCATGTATTGAATATCATAGAGGAAAACACCTGGTGGGAAATATAGGCACAATTTTGGGATGGACACTCATAT